CCCTCCCCCCCCCGTATATCCAATCTTTGCTGGAGCGGTTGTGTCGCTAGTGCGCTGAATATCTCTGCATTCCCATTCACCGCATGCTTGCCCGATAATGAAGACCGACCAAATCCTTTATGGGTCACCGATGGCTTTTGCTATTGCCTATGCTATTCAGTGGTGATTAAACTGTCACTGACAACATCATGTTCAGATTATTTGTAACTATCAACGACTTGCGACATGCGCCTTCAAAAAATACTGTACCTTTCTCTGCTCAGGGGCGCAACCTGCTGCCACAAGGGGATCGCTTCTTGGGGATCGAGGCGCTCCAGATACCATAAGGTTTCTTCATCACGTCTTCTCACTGAAAATAGAAAGTCGCAAAAAATTGTGACAGAATAAAAATTTGCTGTACTTAATCATACCCCGGTAAAAGACTCCAGTTCGAATCATCACATCTCGCAATTGAATGCGCGGTCCCTGAATGTTTGCTCGTACGGGTGTAGACAGCTGAAGACGCTGGTAGGTCTAGAATAGCAAACAAGCAAAATGTAGACAATAGCTGAGATCTTCTGGGATAGGGTCAAGCATCGAGTCACGGAGCTTTACCGACCCGGTCATTCGTCTCTTGAAGGGGGCGTCCTTAGAACCCTTTTATTGTTTTCTCAGACTATATATAGCCCAGCTGTCGCCGGGCGCTCCTCCTTCTGTGACATGGCCCGGCTTCGCCGGGCCATGCGGATTTGCCGCGTGCTAAGTTAAGGATCGTTGACCAACCACACTGTTCAAAGGAATCTTCTGCATCAGCCAAGAACTGAAAAGCAGCGCTTGTTCCGTCAAGACGCAGAAGCAGCAGCAGCGCCCCCGCATCACAGAAGGAGGAGAGCCGGCCTTAGCCAGCCAGCGAATTACACTGGTACGTTTCATAACCTACACGGGAATAGTGCAGCCTGTTAGGATAGCCGCTGAAGCAGCCTATAATTCATGCATTCTGTCCTCCTAAAGCGTCTTGCTTTGGAATGCACTCCCGCATTCAGCAGTGGAACCCTTTAAATGGCCCTCACTAAGGTTGTTGATGGAAGATAATTGTGGTAAGAGTGATAATTGCTGCTGTTCATAACATCTCTGTAAACAAACCCCATGCATTTGGAATAGAGCTAGCTTAGCGGTCGTACATGATGTCGTTACTAATAAGCAGTGAGGAATGAGTTCTGTTGGAATCACTGAGATCGTTATACTTGAGTCATATCGATCGCATTGTTGTTGTGAGCGGTGAAGCGGATTTTCCCATGTTACCTTGTCACTTTTAGCTCCTATCACTTCCGTACCCGCCAATAATATTCCCGTCCCGTATCACTATCATATCACCCTATATCGCCTCTCGGATCCGAGGTCCCACTGTTGCTGTAACCTGCGTTACGAATTGATGACCCTCCCCTTCCGAGGCCGCTTATCTTATCAACTGTTATCACTTTCTGTCACCCGGCAATAAGGCTGCGTTTATACTTTGCGGCAGCGTAGCGCTTCCAGCGTACGCCAGCGGCAGTGTCGGGGAAAGGATAGATATCGATCTAGCGTTCCCAGCGTCACCAGCGTACGCTAGCGTAACGCTAGCGCACGCTGGCGTTACGCTAGCGTGCGCTGGCGTAACGCTAGCGTAATGTTCATCCAGCCTAATGTTCCCGTCCCACACCCTATATCACCTCTCGGATCCAAGGACCCACTGTTCCTGTGAGCCGCACTATGAATTTGGTAGTCCTTCCCTTCTAATGCCCATTATCAGATCTTATCAGCTGATATCACATCCTGTCACCTACCAATAATGTTTTCGTCCCACCCCCTATTTCACTGCTCGGAACCAACGTCCCACTGCTGCTGTGGCCCGCACTATGGACTGGGTGACCATCCCCTTTGGACGCCTCTTATCGAATCTTATCAACTGATATCACACCCATGGTGTTCCCGTCACACCCCCTCCATCACTTCCTGGAATCAACGTTTCTCTGCCACTGGGACAGGTGTTATGAATTTCGTGACACACACACACTTAGCGGATTATATATAGTAGGATAGGATAGGGTGATTTTACTGTTGAAACTACAATAACCTTTGCTTCATCGAGAAGATCTCGGCAGGCCTCGTCCGCCTTCACTAACGCGTCTTCACTGACTGTTTCGGCGAGGAACTTGGGGGAACAAAGTGGGAGTCGTACGTGCTCCAACAACTGCAAAACCAGTGAACAAAACTTCGAAAACATTGTAAGAACGTAAACCTACTTGTGGAAGGAATTGCTCCCGTACTGATGGATCGAATCTAACCCACTGAAGCACAGCTTCGAAAACCTAGAAGAATGCTCGTCCATGATTCAAACAGATAAGTGAGGGCTGAATAGGAAAAAACAGGAATACGATCTCATATTTTCGTAAATCAATCTCCACACCTTTTCTTCTGATCGGATATTAAGCTGATCACTTGAGATGAGCTCAATTAGCTGATTAGCAGTAAGTTGGTAAAACTGCTCAGTACCAACAACGTGCTAAAAAATCGGGATAGAGTAAGCTGATGTTGAGCTTAGAACGACAAAATACCAACCTGGAAGATATGCAATATATATTTGCTAGCGCAGTGAAGAAGATTCCGACATGCGTAAGTATCAGCAATCGCTCGGAATTCCCAAGCAATTGGACGGACTCAAATTCTTCTCCAGAAATCCGCAGCAGGACTCCTACAAAAAAGAAGTAGAACTATTAGAACCACTCGAATTGGTGAGTATCGGAACGATGGGACTTTCACAAAATTGATGGGGCAACCTGAACTTCGTTCATTTGGAGCATGCAAGCGGCAGGTAGAATGCTCTTCACATTGGTGTTGTTGATAGTTATCTTCCCAGTATAGCAGAAATCAACAAGACCTTTGAGCGCCGAGGCTTTCACACCCACTATTTCTATTTCTTCTGCAAAAAACCTTGTTTTGCAAAAAAAACGTACACTGAAAAAGAGCAATGCTTACGGTGTTGATCTAAGGTACAGGATCGCTGGTAGAATCCCAACGGGAGGGGAAAGGGGGCCAGTACTTAATTCCCTTCCCGCCAACTAAGCCTCACAGAGCGCAGATGATGTCCTTCATTGGCGACGAGGTCAAGAGTGAATGTCAGGATGTAAAGACAGTTCCCGCGATCAAGTGACCCATGAAATGCCACCGTGCATTTGGCATCGTAATCTGCATTCGCAAAGAATGTACCACTTCCGTAATTCAAAACGGCGAGATGAAGAGATTAGCGACGATTACTTGTAGTCCACTGCAACCACGATCACTTTCACTCCGCAAGACAACAGTTTACAAGGGGAATGGCGCGTGGTTTGTAACGTTGCCTGGGGTGTCGTAGGACGATTCCATATGCTCTTACCCGGAATTTGTTGCACGTAAAATTCTGCTAATTTTGCTTGTCCTCATGATGCACTCGTCTAAGGCGCCGGCCCCACTGCTGAGGGAGGGGTCTCCGTTCAGAGTGTTCCCAAGGTATTTTCGCTTCTTTCTACTCATGAACTACTGATTTACGATCCACCGACTACCCGTAACACTTAGTCGCTGGAGTTGTCTCTGAATGAGACCAGTATACGAGTTCTCATCGACTATGATGAGACATGTGGCAGCGCGAAATCGGCGCCTATTGGCGCCAAATGAAGTCCATCGCTAAAAAAAAGTATCGTATCCGTAGGCAGGCA